ACCGGCAAAATTAAAAGAAAAGCTTTTATTTTCAGTCGTGACACAGGTGACAGCAGACTGCTCAGAGATATTATTTCTAGAAATAATAAATATTCTAGAAGGATTATTTCTAGAAATATATTCTACTTTGTCACAACTCAGTCAACAAGGACAATTAGGATGATGTAGAAAGGCAAGTAAAGACCAGAATATGACAACAGGAATATTTTACACAAACAATATGGAGAAATATTTTCTTTTCACATTGCCTTTAATGTTTTGGTAATCCACATGTAAATAAAGTTCTGAAAGAAAGAGAATTCAGGTGACTCCAGTGTCCCTCCATTGAGTGTCTGTGGTTGGCCCACTTGGTAACCAATCCCAGTCCTTCTTCTCATTGGCTCTCTGACATAGACCAAGTCATTAGCCTCTCTGGGCCTCAGTCTCCTTGTGTGTAAAGTGAGGATGAGAATACAATTCCCAGGTGAGTTCTGAGATTTTCATGAGATGCTGTGCCCATCAAAGGAGTTGCCTGTTCCTTGGGACATAAACAGTGCTTTATAAATATCAGTTCTGTTTTTTCTATGCTTATTAGTTTTAATGCCAATTATTTCTCAATGCCCTTGAGTGGTATAAATGATTAAGCGTTTAACTTAACCAAGCCAAAAGGCTAGCAGTTCTAACCCACCTGGAAGCACCTCAGAGGACAGTTCTACTGACACACAGGGTCATCATGAATTGGAATTGACTCAGTGACCACAGACTGCACCAACATTTCCGTATCTCATTATTGGAAGTAGAACACTGAGGGCCTAAACCCCAATGAGAATCCAGAGGTGACCATAATAGTATACTGTTGTTTTTAAGTGCCGTCGAGTTGATTCCGACCCATAGCGACCCTGTACAGAGTTTCCAAGGCTGTAAATCTTTACGGGAGTAGAAAGCCTCATCTTTCTCCCGTGAAGCGGCTGGTAGTTCCAAACTGCTGACCTTAAGGTTCGCAGCCCTATTCATAACCACTACTACTAGTTACATCCAATATCCATTTTTCATAGGCAAGAAGACTGAGCTAGTGGCAAGAGTCCTAGGTTAAAGTGTAATATTTGATCAGAGCAGTTCACACACCGTGAGGTAAGCTCTCCTGCCGACCACTGACTCTCAGAAGGGGAATGTGTTGTTTTCTATCAAGTACTGCCTTAAAAATAAGCAGGGAGACAAGGGGACTGATTTTTATTAAGCACTTCCCATGTCCCAAGTAAACAGTAACACCCTTGATGTATACTAGCTCTTAAAAACCTCAGAACAAACCTAGGAGATGTGTTCTTATCCAGAGAGGCTAAATTGCTTGCCCTCAGTCAGAGAACTGGTGAGAAGTAAGGCTGGGATCGCTTACCAAGTGTGTCCCAGATCTGCAAAGCAAGGGGTTTTCGAACTTGATCTGGAAGACCTTTAACTGCTACTGAGTATACAGGATTTGGGGTCTCTTTTGCTTGTGGGCCCTTTATTGACTTTAAACCTTAGCTCAGAGCACTGTGGATGATGTGAACGTTAGAGAAGGCATTCTTGATTTCTGCTAAGATTAGCAGTTATGCCAGGGCATAACTGAATGGACAAGGTTTTGATTCTGGATTTATAAGGATGTTGGAGCCTGCTGGTACCTCCCTGTCCTGGGAATTTGACATTATTCCCAATGAAAATGAAGTAAAGCATGCTGACTTAAGTCTGAAACATCATCTGACTTCAAAATAAACAATTTGATGTTCCTTCCAACCATGTGGTTTGGAGGAGAATTGGCATTTTATATACCCCACCACTCTGACCACAGTGATTCCTCCAAGGGACATGTGGCCAAGCTGAGCCAGGGTCCTTCCGTGGGTCTCGTAATTTGGATTTAAGGGAAGTTGTGAGCTCAGGTGCTCTGAGTGATATGTTGAAAAGTAGAGAAAATCAGCCCAAAATCAGAACAAGACCCAAGTCCCTAGAGAGGCAGAGACAATGTGGTTTCTGTCCAGTCTTCCTACTTCACCAAAGAAAGACGTTGCTTTTCTCCTGATCCCCCAATCCCGTGAACCTAATCACTGCCATCAAGTAGATTCCATCTCATAGTGGCCTTGTTTGGTATTGTTGTTGTTGTTAAGTGCCATTGAGTTGGTTCCAACTCGTAACGACCCTGTTTAGGGTTTCTGAGGAGCAGCTTGTGGGTTTGAACTGCTGACCTTGCAGTTAGAATCCAGTGCTTATCCTACAGCGGACTCCTTTCCCTGAACCTAAAGTGTGTCAAATCTAAGGAATTATATTCGACCCCCAGAAGCAGAGTACCCAACTCTTACTCATAAAGTACTCTGCCAAGGCTATTATGCATGTCCAAGATTGTTTCTATTAAATGTTTTATTGTTGTAAAAATAGAGATTACGTATTTGCCAATTCAACATTTTTCACATAAACAATTCAGTGAGACCAGTTACATCAATTGTGCCGTGCAACCACCACCAGTATCCTTCGCCAAAGTTTCGGTCCTCATAAACAAAGTCAATGCTTCTCAAACAATAATTGTCCCCAGCTCCTCCTCCCTCCCACCCCCAGTAACCCCTGTTAAACTCTGATCTCTATATATTTGCCCATTCTAGATACTTAGTGTTTCTTTTCTTTTCTTTCAACTCTGGGTTTACTCCATCCTTTGGTTGTCTTTTCTAAGAGGGGTTTCAGACTCTCAGGGCACCAGGAGCAATAAAATCAATGAATAAACTAACAGGGAAGAAAAAATGGGCAACTAACAAACAACACAAATTTAAAAAGCCTTGTCGGTTTCTGGATGTCTGTGAAAATCACAAAAGAGGATAAATGTATGGACAAAGCAGAAATTGTTGATGGTAATGTGTAGGAGGGCAGGCGTAGTAATGTACCTCACATAACTAGTTACAGTTTACCGGTCTGGAAGTTTTCTAGTAGGTTGTTGTTATGTGCCATCAAGTCAATTCCAAATTTCAGAGGAGCTTGAACAGCCAACCTTGCAGTTCAAACCAACTTTGCAGTCCAGCACATTAACCCACAGTGCCACACCAGGACTCCTTTTTTCTAGTAGGTAGGTGAGGGTGTTCCCCCTACAACAAATCTAATATTAAGATTTTCAGCGATAAACATTGTTACCTGCTTTTCATAAAGTAGTAGATTCATCAAAGTGTACAAAAGTATTTTGATTACAGCTTTACAGTTTCTTAATAAAAAAATATCAGGAATAAACCAAATGCGAACCAAAAAATTTTGCAAAGTATCATCTACTAAATAGGATAATGTATGAGCAGATAAGTATATGCATTATTTCTAGAAAGACAAACCGAGCCAACACAACTGGCCATTTGTGGCGCTGTGGGTTAATGCTCTGAACTGCAGTCACCTTGAGCCACAAGGTCGGTGGTTCAAGCTCACCAGCTGCTCATCGGAAACCCTATACAGGGTCACTATGGGTCAGAACTGACTCAACAGCACTTAACAACAACTCTGAACTTCAGGAACACACTGGGATTGTATCTAGGGTCTGTTAAGAGTAATGAAGGCATACTCTGTTGACGTAAGAGCAAAGACATATGTTGAAGGTTCGAAAACCATCCAGACCAGGGAAACATCTGGTCTCAGTGAATCCCAGAAAGGGAAGGGAAAGAGTATAGTTATGTTGATGGAGTTAGGAACTAACAGTGCAAAGCCTGTGATTGGTGCTTTGTGAGGTAAGGTGGCCGGCAGCATGATATCTCGAAGTAGGGAACTAAAGGAAATTGGGCTGGAGTCTATACGTGGGTTATCAGGACTGCTTAGACGGGGTAACTGAAGAAGTATGTGGTTACAGAAAGGTTGACAGGTAACTACAAAGCTTTTTCTCCTAAGGACAGTTGGTTAAATACATACATACATATATACATATTGTTGTTGTTGTTAAGTGCCTTCGAGGAGGTTCCAACCCATAATAACCCTGTATAGGGTTTTCGAGAAGCAGCTGGTGAGCCTAAACCACCGACCTTGCAATTCAAACCAACCTTGGCAGTCCAGTGCATTAACCGACAGCACCAACAACTATATATATATATATATATATATATATATATATATATATATATATATATATCCATATACATCTATATATGAACATTTCCCAAAGTTGGTCAGTTCTCCATGTTTAATTGCAGGAACATTCTTCCCGTTCCTTGAATTAACCACAAAGAGGAACTTGTTCTTAGTTATAAGCTTCTAAGCTGTACAAAGGTCACTGACTATTAGAAAACTTTGCCAGCATTAAGATGGTGTCCACACTCAGATCCTGACCAGCCATTTTGCTAGCATCAGTTCGGGGGTTTCTCACACAGGTCAAAGGTCTCCTGGTGGCTTCCTAATGTGGGGAGAACTGGCCTTAACCTTAAGGGATGTTGTCTCAAATGTGAGGTATGATTTGTTTTTTTCAGCTTTCTGTATTTATAGAATTTTAATTGAACCCTTCATCCACAGATTTGCAGACTCTGAAAGACTAATTCCTTCAATCGTCACCCTTATAGATCAGCAGCTAAACCAGAGTACTAGTTCATGATTATATACTGACAGAAACAACCAAATTAGCTGGCTGGTGTATTCCTGAAGGAAGTCTGTTGTTGTTGTTGTTAAGTGCAGAGGAGTAGACTCTGACTCAGCGACCCTGTATAGGGTTTCCAGGAATCAGTTGATGCTAATCCTACAATACCACACCCACACTCCAAAGGAAGTCTACGGGATAGGAATCATTTTCCTCAGCACAGAGGGCATCGTGACCTCAACAACCTGCAGCACCATTGAGCTGTGGGAACTCAGTGCATCCACTCTCCATTCTCGAAACGGAACTGTTAGGAAAAGCAGACTCCATGTGCAACGTCTCCTCCAGAAACTTTTCCCAGGTTCCCTTGGAGAGTTCATTTCCTCACTGAATTGATGATAGAAATCATCCAGAAAGACCCACAATAGACAGTCGTTCTTAGCCTCGCTTTCTCTGCTTCCTTCCCCAGTGTTCAATTGAGTGTGGGAGTGGAACCCAACAGAGGGAGGTGATCTGTGTTAGGAAGAATGCAGACACCTTTGAAGTGCTGGACCCCTACGAATGTTCTTTCTTGGAGAGACCCCCCAGCCAGCAATCCTGCCACCTCAAGCCTTGTGGGGCCAAATGGTTTCACACCGAATGGAGCATGGTAAGTCATGGAGCATTTGATTGATATTGCATTAGGACCTCGTGCACCTGCTTTCCTACTAGACACTGAGCTCTCTCTCGAGTAGATTCCTTACAGCAAATGGCTTCATCAGCTGCAGTCAGGGTGCCCCTGGACTCAGCCTGCTTTGCTGGGGACACCTGAGGCTTAGATGGTCTTGGCTTCTCCATTGTAGAGGCCGGGAAGCAGTGGTCCTCAAGATTCAGTGTGCATAAGAATCACCTGGGGCTCTTATTTTAAAAGAATAATTTCAGGCAGACTCTGGGCAAGGAATGTGCATTTGGGGGCTGGGGAAGGACTCTGCTTCTTTAACAAGTTCTTCCATGAGTTGTATGCAGGGATCCTTGGACCCCATTTTGAGAAATCCTTCTTCATGGATTGGTAGCTAAAGGGACTCAAGGATGCTCTTTAAAATACTACACCGTGCACTGACCTCTTTGTACAACTCAGTGGAGGAATGTCTGTCAGGCCTCTGTACCAGTGTATGTGTGTGTGCACATATGTGTGTGTGTTGCATACTTTTAGAAACTTCTATAGACATTATGGATTATGGAACTGATTCTGCTTTTCTCTTTGAATTGGCTGCTAGGAAACTCAGAGATAAATTCATGGCCTACCTCTAAGAAAAACTGTACCATACCTTACAAATTGGATTTGGGGTACTAATGTTATCCCTGGCTTCACTTTAATTTTCCTACTTTTATTTTCTATTTGCCTCAGTTTCCTCACATTTATTTTTTTAATCTTTTGGTTTTCTAAGTATTTTGTGGTGCTGGTGTGCCGTGGAGTTAGTTCTGACTCATAGTGAGTGACCCTGTATAAGGTTTCAGAAATCCTTTTTGTAAGGGGGAGGGTGGTGGTGGTTTTGTACCGTGGAGTCGGTTCCAACGTAGGGTTTCCGAGGCTGTAAATCTTTATGGGAGCAGAAAGCCTCATCTTTCTCCCACATTTCGAACTGCTGATCTTGAGGTTAGCAGCCCAACTTGTAACCACTACGTTACCAGAGCTCCTTAAGGCGGAGAGTAGCATATAAATAAAGAAAGAGAAAGAAATACAGAAACAGGTATTAAATAATAAAATGGAATAGGGGGGAAATAGTGAGAATGGTTTGGTTTGGTTTGTTTTCAAAGAACTTTGTAAAACAGAAAACCACCTCAGTGTCCCATCCTCAGATTTGTGTTAACACCTCGGGGAGGTGGTACATTCTGCTTTCTGTCCCTGAAGGTATTCAAACAGAGGCCATAGGTGGGCCTAGAGTGGATAAAAGGGTATTTTGCCTATAAAATAAATGAATAAAAGCTGAGTTCTGTTGCCAGGCAGAGTATGTGGTACCATCCGTTGGTACCCCAGCCATCCGGGCATGTGGCAAACCACATGAAAGCAGAAGATGGAAACAAGAGAAGGTGCTGGGTTTGCAAAGGGACTAGTTCTCTCCTGGGAAGTAGACTTTAATTGTTTCCGTATTGACCAATGCCCTTGAGAATGCAAGAACAGATTGCTGTTTTCTTTTGCTCTCTGGTTTGGAACACCTAGAAAAGGCCAAGTTCACCAGATCAAGTCAAAGGAGACGAGCTCCAGAAATTCCCAACTGGTTTGTTAGTAAGTCTTCAGCTTCCTGTTGTTATTGTTGGTAGAGGCAGGAAGTTGACTCTGAGTCCTATTGACCCTGTGTAACGGAGGAGATATGTTGCATAGGGTTTCCTGGGCTGGAACCAGAGCACATTGTCAGGTCATTTTCTCACTGAGCCGCTGGGTAGATTCAAACCACCAACCTTTCAGGTAATAGCTGAGCACTTAGCCATTGCATCACAACATTAAGTCTGATGTGTCTTGTTAGCAGAACTGTACACCTTTTGATTGTTGTTGTTGTTGTTAGATGCCATCGAGTTGGTACCGACTCATAACGACCCTATGCACAACAGAACAAAACACTGCCCAGTCCTGGGCCAACCTCACTACTGTTGCCACACTTGAGCCCATTGATGCTGCCACTTTGCCAATTCATCTCACTGGGGGTCTTCCTCTTATTCTCTAACCCTCCACCTTACCAAACATGATATCCTTCTCCATTGACTGGTCCCTCCTGACAATATGTATGAAGTATGAGAGACAAAGTCTGACCATCCTGGCCTCCAAGGAGCACTCTAGCTGCACTTTCTCCAACACAGATCTGTTGGTTCTTTTGGCAGCCCATGGCACTTTCAATATTCTCCTCCAACACTATAACTCAAATGCATCAATTCTTCTACGATCTTCCTTATTCATGGACCAGCTTTCGCATGCATATGAGGTTATTGTAAATACCATGGCTTGGGTCAGGCGCACCTTAGTCCTCAAGCTGACATCTTTGCTCTTCAACACTTTTAAAAGGTCTTGTGCAGCAGATTTGCCTAATGCAATACGTCATTTGATTTCTTGACTGCTGCTTCCATGAGTGTTGATAGTTGATCCAAGAAGAATGAAGTCCTTGACAACTTCAATCTTTTCTCCATTGATAAGAATGTTGTTTATTGGTCCAGTGGTGAGGAGTTTTCTTTACATTAAGATGCAATCCATACTGAAGGCTGTACTCTTTGATCTTCATCAGTAAATATTTTAAGTCCTCTTCACTTTCAGCAAGCAAGGTTGTATCATCTGTATATAACAAGTTTTAATGAGTCTTCCTCCAATCCTAATGCCACGTTTCTCTTCATCTAACCCACGTTCTCGGATTATTTGCTCAGCATGCAGGTTGAATAAGTATGGTGAAAGAATACAACCTTGTCACACACCTTTCTTCATTTTAAACCATTCAGTGTTTCCATGTTCTGTTCGAACAATTGCCTCTTGGTCCATGTACAGATTCCTCATAAGCACAATTATGTGTTCATAATTGTTGTCCATAGGTTGTCATGATCCACACAATCAAAAGCCTTTTCATAGTCAATAAAGCACAGGTAAACATTTTTCTGGTATTTCTCTGCTTTCAGCCAAGATATATTGGACATTAGCAATGATATCCCTCATTCCATGTCCTCTTCTGAATCTGGCTTGAACCTCCAGAAGTTCCCTTGTCAAATGTATGCTTGCAGCCATTTCTGTATTACCTTTAGTAAAACTTTACATGCATGGGATATCAAAAATATTGTCCAATGATTTCCACATTCCATTGGGTCACCTCTCTTTGGAATGGGCAGAAATACGGATCTCTTCCAATCAGTTGGCCAGATAGTTGTCTTCCAAATTTCTTGGAAGTACCTCTAGTGCCGCCTCACTTTCTTGAAAGATTTCAATTTTTATTCCATCAATTCCTGGTGCCTTTTTCTTTGCCAATTCCTTCAGTGCACCTTGGACTTCTTCCTTCAGTATCACTGGCTCTTGATCATATGCTACCTCTTGAAACCATTGAACATCAACCATTTCCTTTTGGTACAGTGACTCTTGTATTCCTTCCATCTTCTTTTGATGCTTTCTGCATCATTCAATAATTTGTCCACAGAATCCTTCAACACCGCAAGTCAAGGCTTGAATTTTTTCTTCAGTTCCTCCAGCTTGAGAAATGCTAATGTGTTCTTCCCTTTTGATTTTCTGACTCCAGATCTTTGCACATTTCGTTGTAATATTTGACTTTGTCTTCTCAATCTGACCTTTGAAATTTTCTGTTCAGCTCTTGGGCCTCCTCACTTCTTCCATTTGCTTTAGCATCTCTACACCAGAGAGCAAGTTTCAGTGTCTCTTCTGACATCCATTTTTGTCTTTTCCTTCTTTCTTGTCTTCTTAATGATTTCTTGCTTTCTTCCTGTATGTTGTTCTTGATGTCATCCCACAACCCTTCTGGTCTTCGGTCTTTAGTGTTTAATGTATCAAATCTGTTCTTCAGATGATCTCTAAATTCAGGTGGGATATATTCAAGGTCATATTTTGGCTCTCATGTTTTCATTTTCTTCAGCCTCAGTTTGAATTTGCATATGAACAATTGATGGTCTGTTCCACAACCTGCCGCTTGTTTTTCTGATTATATGGAGCTTTCCCGCCATCTCTTTCCACATAATTTGAAGTCAGTATATTCCATCGGTTTATTTAATGTCATTGGTACCAAGGTGATCGCTAGACAAGCTGGATGAGCTTGGGACCATGTCTATTTGATAGTTATGGTCTTTGTTGTTACAGAGGGGTTAGCAAATGTCTTCGGTAAAATGCCAGAACTTAAATTTTTTAACACTGTGTGTCATGTGGTCTCGGTTGCAACTGCTCAGCTGTGTTACATGTAACATGACAGTAGCCATAACAATATATAACATGACAGTAGCTGTAACAATAAGCAATGAATGAACGTTTGTAAATAAAGTCCAATGAAACTGTATTGACAAAAACAGATCCCACTGCTGGACTATAGTTGGTCAACCACTGTTAGAGAGCAGTAGTAAAGGTTTCTGGAGGAAACATGTTGGTTTCAGGGAGACACTCTGCTTTTCTTCAGTGTCTCTCTCTCCTCTAGAAGTAGGGCTAGTGTGGCAGAGTGCCCCGCAGTCTTGGGCCAATGGTGGGACTGCGGGCTTCCTTGCAGCCTCAGGATCTCTTCTAGAACCCATTTGCCTCAAACTATCAAGATAGATTATTATTCAGATTGTTATTAATTGGAAAAGGACGGAGATGAAACGTAAAAATCAAGCAGCTAACCTGCCATTGAGAAATAATTGCTATTAATGTAGAAGTTGGTTTTTTTTAAGTAAAATTCATCTTCTAGATCTTGGATGGAATTCTATGAGTGTTAGGAGAATAACTGAATTTTTTTCTCAAGAATCTGAATCGATTTAAGATGACGGAAACAAGTATTTAAAATAATGCGTTGTTATTGCCTGTCACCCTACCTGCAGTTCAGTAACCTGCTTTTTATCCACAGTACACTTGCATCACCTCAAATGTAGTGGCATTATTCTTGTTAAGTGCTGACGAGTAGGTTCCGACCCATAGCAACCCTGTATAGGGTTTCCAAGGAGCAGCTGGTGAGCTTGAACTGCCGACCTTTCAGTTCAAACGGCTCTGCAGTCTGGCACATTACCCCACAGCGTTTATATAGGTAGTATTAACATGGTCAAGGATTTTCTTTGGCTTGGACCCACAGTCAACTTCCAAGAAAGCAGCAATCAACAAATCAAATGACATATTGCATTGGACTACGTCATTTTTAATCTTTTCATGAAGGATTAAAAAGCAAAGATGTCACTTTGAGGACTAAGGTGCACTTGACCCAAGCCATGGTATTTTCAATAGCATTATATGCATGTGAAAACTAGACAATGACTAAGGAAGACCAGAGAAAAATTGATGCACTTAAATTATCATGTTGGTGGAGATAGTTGAATATATCATGGAATACAAGAAGCACAAACATATCTGTGTTAGAAGACCAGCCAGAGTGCTCCCTAGAAAGGAGAATGGTGCGACTGCTTCTTTCATATTTAGACGTATTATCAGGAGGGACCTGTCCCTGGAGACAGACATCATGCTTGGTAAGGTAGAGGGCTGAGGTAAAGAGGAAGACTGTCAGTGTTCTGGGTTGGCATAGTGGCTACGGCAGTGGACTTAAACGTGGCACTGGCCATGAGAATGACATTGGTTGGTTGATTATGTGCCATGGAGTCAGTTCCGACTCATAGCAACCCTGTTACAGGGTTTCTGAGGCTGTAAATCTTTACGGGAGCAGAAAACCTCATCTTTCTCCCACAGAACAGCTGGTAGTTTCGAACTGCTGACCTTGTGCTTTGCAACCTGATTCGTAACCACTATGCTACCAGAGCTCCCTGTGAGAATGGCATAGGACTGGGCAGTATCTCATTTTGTTGTATGTGGAGTAGCTATGAGGCTGAATATCACAACTCCATAACTCAACCACACCTAACAACAATAACTCAATAACTACAGAAGACAGAGGAGCTTGTCAACTCACACCATGGATGCTGTCAGCAGACTCTAGGGAAAATCTGTAAGGAAAAAAAAAATCTATGGAAAAAGGCTGATGTCTGTTCCTTGGACAAATGAGGTGCAAAGAGTTAGGGGAAAGTTAGTAGAAGGGAAGCTATGGACTGAAAGAGTCTTCAACGTTAAGCAGCCGGTTGCGATATGCAGACCTTATGCAGACCCTAATTGTTTTTTTAAAAAACTATATTTAAAAATATACATGGTGATTGCTTTACAGCATAGTGCTACTGATTGTATAGTTAAAAGTAGTTAAGTGTCAGATTTAATAGTGTGTAGAGTCATTGGGTGTGGCGCTGTGGGTTAATGCGCCAGACTGCAAAGCCGTTTGAACTGCAAGCTCGGCAGTTCAAGCTCACTAGCTGCTCCTTGGAAACCCTATACAGGGTTGCTATGGGTCAGAACTGACTCGACGGCACTTCACAACAACAGAGTCATTGGGCTGCTAACCAAATCAGCAGTTCAAACCCACCAGCCACTCCACAGGAGAAAGATGAGGCTGTGTGCTCCCATAAAGATTTACAGCCTCGGAAACCCTGTACAGGGTCCATTTGAGTCACAATTGACTCAGTGGCAGCGGGTATACTTTAGCACAACAGCAAACAAAAGTCTGAGAATCCTTAGACAACTGAAAATATAATCGCTACTGTAGGTTTGAGGAAAAGGAATTATTGGTACTTTTTAAAGTGTAATAATGGCATTTTGTGTGTGTTTATGTGTATATATTTAAAGAGTTTCTCTTTTAGAGACAAACCCACTTCCATCTAGTGAGTCCTGGTGTGGTGCTGTAGGATAAACTGGATTGCTAACCACAAGGTTGGCAGTTCAAAACCACCAACTGCTAAAAACCCTATGTTGTTGTTAAGTGCCATTGAGTCAGTTTCAAATCACAGTGACCCTGTATAGGGTTTCTGAGGAGCGGCTGGTAAGCTTGAACCGCCAACCTTGCAGTCCAGCGCCTTACCCACAGTGCCACATCAAGACTCCATATAGGGTTTGTTGTTGTTGTTGTTGTTGTTGTTAAATGCCGTCAAGTCGATTCCGACCCATAGTGAGCCTGTACAGGGTTTCCAAGGCTGTAAATCTTTACGGGAGCAGAAAGCCTCATCTTTCTCCCGTGGAGCGGCTGGTAATTTGAACTGCTGACCTTAAGGTTCACAGCCCAATTTGTAACCACTGCGCTACCAGAGCTCTTACAAGGCTGTAAATCTTCAAAAGAGCAAATCGCCTCATCTTTCTCCTGTGCATCGGCTGGTGGGTTTGAACTGCTTATCCTATAGTACCACCACGACTCCTTTTTAGAGATACCAACTGAAGTAACAAGTAAAAAATTAATCACTGCCATCAAGCTGATGCCCACTCATCGTGACCCTATAGAACAGAGTAGAATTGTTCCTTAGGGTTTCTGAAACTGTAAATCTTGATGGGAGCAGACAGCCTCATCTTTCTCCCACAGAGCATCTGGTGGGTTTGAACCAATGGCCTTGCAGTTAGCAGCACAGTGCCTAACCCACAGCACCACCAGGACTCCTGGTAAGCTGAAATAACATGGAACACATAATGTCATAGCAAGTTGACTTCAAAAGAATATAAACGACAGTTGTTGTTAAGTACCATCAAGTCATTTCCAACTCATAGCGACCCTGTATAGTGTTTCCGAGGAGTAGCTGGTGAGCTTGAACTGCCAACCTTGTAATCCAAGCCGACTTTGCAGCCCAGAGCATTAACCTGCAGCGCCACACTAGGACTCCATAAGCAACAGTAGGTGGGGTATAAATAGAACACAATTAGCCATGAGTTGCGAGTTGTTGAAGCTGAGTTCTGTGTAAATGGTGGTTTATTGTGACAGTCTGTCTCTTTGGGGAGATGTCTGAGACTCACAGATAGCTGCCCTCTCCTATGTATTGAGCTAACAGGCTTCCAGGAAACAAACTTTGTCCCTTTTTCTCTATACAGTGCTCCAAGAGCTGCCAGGGTGGCTTCCGGGTCCGGGAAGTACGGTGCCTGTCAGATGACATGACTCTAAGTAACCTCTGTGACCCTCAGTTGAAACCAGAAGAGAAAGAATCTTGTAACCCTCAGGACTGTGTCCCTGAAGTTGGTAAGTAGGAATTCCTTTCTTGGAAAAAATATTTGGCTCCCCTGAGCTCCTTCAGGTTCTCCAGCATGAAACCCAAGCCCTTCTAGATCTCTCTGTGGCCTTGTACACACAGTCATGGAGTTCAGTGGGTCTAAGTCCTTGTGGTATTAAAAGCTTCATATCCTTGGATCACCATCCAACCCACCTGCTGAAGACTAACTTATATATGAACTGATTAAAATGGCCTTGCTATCAGAGATTTGGGTCAGTCATCAAACAGTTGAATTTTTAACTTTTAACTGTAGCTATAATCTGTGTGGGCTGGACCATGGGAGGAGATGCTGGAATCCCAGCAGTGGGTCAGCACAGAAAAGAGGAAAAAGAGACAAGGCCACGAAATGGGAGAGGTTGTATTGGGGAGTCTACCGGATAGTTGAGGGACGTAGCTGAGATTCAGTGTCCAAAGGGACCCAGGACTCAGAGTGACCCCTTATCATAGAGGAAGAGATGGCCGCAAAAGGGTCTAGGCTGGAACCCTGCAGAGAATAGCAGCATTGAATTCAGAAGACCCCAATGGCAATCAAGAAATAGGGCCCAGCTCCCTGGAGGAAGGCTTTGGTGAGTGAGGAAGATGAGGTTCTCTCATGAGGAAGACCCCAAGAGGACTAGAGAACAGTCAGAAGACCTAAGGAGGTGCCTTGTACGTGAATTGAACCATCACAAGAGGTGTTGGGTGGATAACAATGTAGCTCCAGTATCTCCAAAGACATGTTGGGTACCCAGATTCCCCTGCTTAGAATACACTGAGCCTCTTGATGTGAATGCTTCAGCGTCTCCTAGGTACCTACTGACTAATCTCAAGAGGAAATGCATTAATGTACCGTTAGGCTGTTGTACAGGGGGTTTCCTCTATTGAGGTTAGTTGACATCAAGTCAATTCCAGCTCAGGGAGACGCCATGTGCACAGAGGAGATCTGTGCTCCACAGGATTTCACGGCTGTGACATTTCAGAATAGATCTCCAGGTCAGTCTTCTGAATCACCTCTGGATGGGTTCGAACGGCCCATTTTTCATTAACCATTTGTGCCTGCCACCCAGGGGGACTTCATGGATATAACCTTCTACGGGCCAAATGGAAACCTTTCATATACTAACCTGATATCGTCTTATTACAGGAAAGGTGTGTCATTGCCAGGCTAAATACTTTATAGTGCAGAACTTCCTATGTATGAATAACCAATGAGTAATGTTAGGGACATGATCAATTCTAGAGGAAGCTGTAATAAAAAGCATAGATTCCGGAGGAAAAAATGTGTAAGACCTGCATAAGATATTTAACGTCTACTTATTATATTATATTATATATTATATTGTTGTATATATTATATAGAGAGAAAAATAAATAGAAATTAAAGATAAGAAAACTTGCTAGAGAGCAGAGGGAAATACAAAGAGAGAGACTAATGTGTTCCTGGATGGGACGAGTTCATACCACAGAGATTATCAAAGAAAGACCGTGAGGGAAGCTTGTCTCACCATAGACTTGAATGTATTTGTAAGACTGGAGAATGTGCCCTGGTTGCACAACAGTTATGTGTTCGCCTGCTAACCAAATGGTCAGCAGTTCAAACCCACCCAATGGCTCTGCAGGAGGAAGAACTGGTGATCTGTTTCTAGAGAGATTACAGCCAAGAAAGCCCTAGGAGGGGCAGTTCTTCCTCACAAGGGGTTGCTATGAGTTGAAATCAACTTGAACAGCACTCAACAGAGCAACAACATACAGCTACAGAAACTAAAACTGTGCAGTATCAGTGCGGGAAGAGACAGGCATGCCTACATCATAGCACAGGCATGCCTACATCATAGCACAGGCA